GATGCACTTGTTACTAGTAGCTTCTAGTTACTAGTAGCGTTCTTGTTACTACTAGTAAGGCATTTGTTTTTAGAAGCGATGCACTTGTTACTAGTAGCTTCTAGTTACTAGTCACGTTCTTGTTACTACTAGTAAGGCACTTGTGACTAGAAGCGATGGACTTGTTACTAGTAGCGTCCTTTGCTCCTAGTAGTAAGGCCAGGAGCCTAGTAGCTTCTTGTTCCTAGCAGCGTTTTGGATCTGATCTCGCTGATTTCAAGCGGTGTGTGGCCATGGAGGAGTCGGACGCATGGCTTTTGCACTGGAGGCTTCAAAAGGATCAATCCCGCAGAGCACATTTCGCTCCAGGCGATCTCAAAGCAGATGGCTAAGATATCTGCACGTCTTGTAGAACTGGAAGAAGCGCAGAAGACCCAAGCTCTTCCAAACGAGGCCCTGCGCCGGCTGGAGGACATGGAAAAGTCATTGCAGAGCACACATCGCGAGGGGTCAAAGCTCCCCTCAGATTCGTGCTTGCCAGAGCAGGTTGGTACTCAACTTGACGAACTCTCTGGGCTTGTGAGTAAAGCCCTCAAAGTGGCCGAGAACAGTGAATGCAACATTCAAGCCTTGCGATTTGACCTTGTTGTGGAGCAGGACCAAGAAGGTCGTGCTGCAGATGCCGCGCAAGATGGCCACCAGTATCCAGAAGGTCCGGGCCTTGCAGCATGGTTTTGAAGGGTCGGCGTCAGAATTGAACAAGTTGGTTGAAAGCATTGTGAAGCGCGTCGAGGCGACCGAAGTGGCCTTGAAAGAGTTGCAGAACGCCGCGGAGGTTCACGCGCTCCGAGATTCACTTCGTGCAGATCTCCTGGAAGCTCAGCAAGAACGTGTCCAGGATTTAGAGAGCAAGTTCTTGGAGAAGGAGGAGCAGCGGCGGGCACTACGGGAGGCGAGTTCCGTGCTGGGCAAACTGCAGGAGGAAAAGGCCGTTCGAGAGGAGGCGATTGCACACATCACTCAGGGCTTCAAGCGTGGCTGCGCGGCTGTGGGCGAACGCTTCAAAAGGGTGGAGGAAGAGGTCGAGCGCCTGAAGCTGACCGTGGGTCTGCGCATTGGAGGAGTGCAGAGCGACGGCGACGGCGACAGCGACGGCGACAGCGACGAGGAGACCAGCGCCAACAGCGACGAACCGAAGGAGCAAACCCAACGGCTTGTGGCAATGGGACCACCCCAAAGAGAAGAGGAGATTAACGATGTCCTTCTTCGAGTCGAAAGGCTGGAGAACCAGTTGGGGAGTTTCAACCATGAGTCGGTCAATGAGAAGGAGATTGACCAGCTCCGCTCTCGCCTGACAGCCGCCGAGCAGCAGCAGGTACACGGCCGACAAGCGGAGGAGGTGAAGATGACCAAAGTCCTTCAGGCGGAGATGTAACGATGCAGCGAAGACGTGTCAGAGGCCTTGTCTTGCACTGAAGAGCTGGCTGGAAGATTAAGGCTGTTGGAGGAGCAAACTCTCCGAGAAAGTCATGTAGCGCTGCTGAAGCAAGGTGCCAGTATTTCGGACTCGAATCATGGGAGTGTCCACAAGCAGTTGGACGCTTCAGCTGGCTCATGAGCAGCTGGAGGTCGAGTCCAGAACTATCCCGTTCCAAGGCAGCGTGAAGCTGGCTGTCACTGGATGAAGCAACGGCAGGTGCGCCTGGTGCCGCCGACGACCTAGGCTTGGCAATGAGCCTGTGTCTCTCACACGGAAGACGACAGCAGACAAAAACAGCGTCCGCAAATGAATTGAGGGGATACCAGACTGAAGATGAGTCATCTCCCATGGTTGCCAAGCAGCCATTGATTACTTGATGCCAGTATGCTCGTCTTGGGTCGTCAATACCTCCTACTAGATCGAACAAAGAATGCTGCTAAAAACAAAGCTCTTCTTCTCTTCCTCCTCCTGCTTCTTCTTCTTCTTCTTTGGCACAGTGTATGTGGACATCCGCTTTTGTTGAACCTGCCAATTTAAGATATGGAGCTTGACGGCTATTTGGCCTAAGATGAGCCAAACGGCTCAGTGACCTGTCACATCTCTTTACCTCAGGCGCTGTTGCCCTGTGACGGCGGGGAGCGGCAGCGGTGGCACGGTGCCAATCGCCTAGACAAAGGTCAGTGGCACGGCAGCAGAAGTGAGGTCAGTGGCGAAGCCATCGCTAGGTTGTAGGCCATTGCTACTAGGTGCCTTACTACTAGGAACAAGAAGCTACTAGGTTGGAGGCCATTGCTGTTTGAGAAGACAGGTTCAAAGGTCTGAAGGGACCAAAAAGTGTGACGAAAGAAAAGGGGAAACTTTATATATTGTTTCTACTAGCTTCTTGTTCCTAGTAGTAAGGCCCTTGCTCCTAGTAGCGATGCCCTTTGCTCCTAGTAGCGTCTACAGAAAGAAAGAATACAGAAAGGAAAGACATGACTGTGTGTAGGGGGGTTAGTTTCAGAAGTGGCGAGTGGCAATCAAAATGCCGAGGTGCTGTAGTGGGCTTCGTGCTTGGAACACAGACCAGTGTCTCCAAGGGGTTTGCCCGGCTGCAGATTTATTTGTCGCACAGTAGTATTGTAACTAGATGAACCGAGCCTTTCGGCCACAAACGCCGGTTTCCATTGCCCACTGCGAACGGACGCAGACGCACACATTGATGTCATCCAGCGGAGGTTCCGAGCGCTAAAAGGCTTGACAAGCGTCAAGAAGCATTCAAAAAGGCTTCGAAAAGCATGCCAGTAGAAAGAGGCTCCGAGACAACGCACAGATCGAGGGTTCGAATTGCTTCCAAAAGGTAGAAGGCCAGGCCACGACGACCGGGACGCACAACGGCAGATGCCGCAGATATGACGCAGCAAAAACACCTCTTCGAAGTACGTCATCGCAGTCACAGTCATCACATCATTATCGCAGCGCTCTCATTGGTCATCGTCAAACCACTTTCATTCTACTATCGTCCTTGTTCTTCCGCGCAGCCGAGAGCGTCGCGTGTCTCTGGCGTGCCGGGCATGGCGATTGCAATGCCGCAGGCAACTAAACATGACAAAGAGCTCAGAGCTGCCTTGCCAGCTCACGGGCATACCTAAAAGGTTTCCCTCGCAAAAAGTGCCACAAAAAGTCAGCCACCCGATTTGCCTCATGTTCAGGCCACGGGATTTGAACTGCTTTCATGGGTTTGTGGATCATCGCCGCCGGACGCGCGACACAGCCCCAACTACACTCACGCTGACATGCCGCCATTGTTTCCGAACTAGCGTCCTTGTTGCTTCTAGCAAGGCACTTGTTACTAGAAGCAAGAATGACGGCTGAATGGAACAAGGGGTGCAGAGAGTGAGCTCAGACGCTCTGCTTTGAGAGAACCCGTGTCACCAAACGTAAAACTGATGGCACACCCAAGGCAAACGACCAACACGGTGATCGCGCGTTGTTTTTTTCCATGTGCGTTCACCAGGCGGTTTGCAAGGAGGACGACAACAACGGATCGTAGTCGTAGTGACGAATGCGTAAAGCGAGAGAGAGGATGCGGATGACGTGCCAGGTTGCAAATGGGAAGATGGCAACCTTCGTTTGCGACGTTTCGGGGCAGAACCCCCACCAGGCCGGGCTTTGGACAAAGTGCGTTTGCCTTGGAGAAGTGTCACCGTTTTCACTCCGTTTGAGTGCCCAGCATGCCACTCAGATGTTTCGGCTGATGATGTGTTGACACATGTGTTTCCCAGTCTTAGTGCTGTGTTGCTCAGATGCGCTCCAGGCTTGGAGGTTTGACTCTGGCCAACTGAAGCGACGCGGAGGCTTTGTTCCTGGTAGCATTCTTGTTCCTAGTAGTAGGGCCAGGAGCCCTTAGTAGCGTCCTTGCTCCTACCAAAGTTCAATCTGCACAAGAACGGAGTTTTGAGGGGCAACAACTTTGTATTGCACATGTGCATCTTGGCCAACTCTTTTCAACGCGTGGGAGACTTTCCAAGATATTGACATCCAAGTAGGACCGTGTGGCAGTGAGAGAGAGTGATTCGCCCTTCGGTAGGTTGATTTTCAGGTGGGGTTCGATGCAAGCAATAAGAAACTTACAGATCTATTTGGCTCGATTAGGAAGCAACTTTATGCAGAGCGCCGACTGCGTCGCCATTGAGAACAACAAACTACAGGCGAGAGTTTTGGGTAGTTTCTCAACAGATTCTATGCAAGTTTTTGGAAAACCTCGTATCCATCAAATTGTCCAATTCCCTGCGTCGTGGCTGCATTGGCATTCCTCATGGTTGTATACACACCCAAAACAACATTTGCAGGGAAACTTGTGAAGCAGAATCCGATTGGGGGTTTATTTTGCTGATTTCTCTTTCTGTTTTCGACTCTCTATTCACTGAAGTGGGAGTTTGGGATATTAAATTTGGATGTGCGACTAAGAACTGTGACTCAGTGACTGGATGTTTTACCGCAGACCGAGCATAATTCCAATTTGCAGGTTCAAACCTGCAACGGTGCTCCTTGGCGCCAGGCGCAAGGGCCACAGCGAAATCGATCCGACATTTTGTTGCAAAGCATGACTCATGTGAAAAACATGTTTGTTCTTTAGACTCTAATAGACCTTGAGACCGTTCTTTCATCCCCACAACTCTCCAAATTAGTCAATTGTAAACATACAAGCTCCCATCTAAGAGCGATGACCTCCAACCTAAGAGCGTTGGCCTTCATTGCTTACAATCACGAAAGGTTTGTGACATGAGTTCATCTAGAGTGGCGTCCAATCAGAGCGACATTTGTGGAGTTTCAGTTGCATTGCCCGTAGGAAGTCAAATTCTAATTAGATTTACTTAATTTTAGGTCTAATTCTATTGAATTCTTGTTTCTAATAGCGAACATTGTTCCTAGTAGTAGGGCCAGGGGCCCCTAGTAGCTTTCTTGCACCTAGTAGCGATGCCCTTTGTTCCTAGTAGCATCATCGAGTCCCGAAGAAAGTTTGGAAGTTTGAGTCGTGTAGGATGAGATCTTGGAGCCCATCGAGTTCACGTTGTACAAAGAGGCACGACATGTTTTGCTCCAGAAACAGAAAGGTAAGAAAAGAGGTTTCAAGGTCCAAATGAAAAAGACAAGCAAAGAGAACCGAGAAGTAAGAGCGAATACTTCGGTGTGCCTAACAAACGAATTGACAAATGCCAATAGAGCTGCCAGCCAGAGCCCGGCAGCATACTTAGCTCGACGAAAACCACATGAACCGGGAGGTGGACCACACTGAGAAAGGTCTGAAGCCCCAAGTAGCGTCCTTGCTCCTAGTAGCGATGCAATTTGCTCCTGCTTAGTGGCCTCCAACCTGGAAGCGATGGCCTTCAACCTAGAAGCAAACTATATATATATATAACAGACCTTTCTTGTGTTTTTTCCCGAAACAATTTTCTGTTCGGGTTCTCTCTTAGGACACTCGCCACAATCTCTGGCCGCGCCCCTGAACCTTGTGTCCGGGTGTTGTCCTCCGGCAGTCCTCTGGCCGTGCTGGTGACCGCTGTGTCCTTCTCTTGTCCTCCTGGTGTCCTCTGCTAACCTCTGGCTGCACATGCGAACCTTGTGTCATATGTGGTGTCCCGTGTCCCATATTGGCGAACCCTCTTTGTGGTTACTCTTGTCCTCCTGGTATTCTTCCTGCTGTCTTCTGGCTGGCTGCACTTGCGACCTCCTCCTGCTCCCCAAGCAATTTGCTGTTGGGGTTCTCGTTATAGCTGTGGGCGCGCGGCTTGGCCACGCTGTGGGCTTTCTTTTCCACTGTGTCCGGGGTTTGTGCAAGCCTTGTCCGATGCGCTGCTGTGGGCCCTACGTTGTCCGTCTGCAGGCTTTGTCCAGGCCTTGTGTGTCCTGCTTGCGCTGTGGGGGCAAATCTTTCTTCCCCGCCTTGTGAAGGCTTTGCCAGGAGCTACTAGTGGCGAACCTTGTTCCTAGTAGTAAGGCCAGGAGCCCCTACTAGCGTCCTTGCTCCTAGTAGCGATGCCCTTTGCTACTAGTAGTGTTCTTGTTGCCTTTTTCCACCGCCTCTGGGTATGTTTTCGCGTGGTTATGAATGCAACATAAGGTAACAGTGATCCGGCGATGCAGATTTTCTCGACATGTCCCTTAGTCTTTGCACATGTGACCCGGGAAGCAGGAGCCAGTAGCAAAGGGCATCGCTACTAGGAGCAAGGATGCTACTAGGGGCTCCTCCTGGCCGTACTACTAGGAGCATTCTTGCTACTAGTAACAAGAAGCTACTAGGTTGGGAAGCGGGAACTACTTTTCAAACATGTTTTTGCTTGCATGCCGTTCCCAAACAGCTGCAGCTGGAGGCTATAGGAATATAACTACAAACGCTACCACCAACAAGGGAACATGTGAATTCAAGGGGTTCACACAAAAAAATATTGCTGATACTGTTTGGGGTCTATGTTGGCATGTAAAATTTCTTTTGCCTGCCCTTACTTAATTAAGTAGGCGCCTACTTAATTAAGGGAGTAAGCTACTAGATTTTAGGGGAATCTTAACATCGCATCGTACCAGCCATGCAGCAGCTTGCGCATCTCCATTTGGAAGCAAACAGAAGCCAACCACCCTTGAGTTGTGTCGGACCAGACCGTCTTCGAATTGGCTTATGTTGTCGACTAGGCCACACAGTTTCGGCATGAAAGCGTGCCGCGCTGCAGTAGAGCGGCATTTGTGCACATTGGGGACCATGCTTGAAGAAGCGTGAGCTATCCTGTGTCCTAGCTAGGAGCGAACTTCTCTAGTAGCGATCTACTTCCTACTTAATTAAGTGGGTGCCTACTTAACCATATACGTAAGGGCGGTCTTTAAAAATGTCTAAAAACATAGAAAACCAAGGTCCAAGTTTTGATAGCAACTAGAAGGATGGAAATTCCACGAAACCGAGATGGAACACCTGGCAAGTCTGAGAGCCCTGGATTCCTCCCATTCCAGGCGTTCCCATGCTGTCTCGCTGTTTCGTTCCAGCTCGCCTTTTCTAAACCCCACGCAAAGTGCGAAAAGGATTGCCCATTTTCGGTTTGCGCACTTCCCTGCTACTTAGGAGCAAGGACGCTACTAGTGGCTCCTGGCTGTACCACTAGTAACAAGAACGCTACTAGTAGCAAAGGGCATCGTTACGAACGAGAACATTGCCTTTTCCCCTCTTTTGCCGGTCCAGCGCTGCTGACAGTTCCATGCCGTCCCAGGCGATGTCTTCGCTTTGAGCGAAAAAGATGCGATGGTTTGGGATCACAATGAATAGTCGCATAGCTGGATTGCTGCTTCGGTATTGGCCTGGAAGATCTTCAGCATGAGTTGTAGGCTTGTGAGTTCTGGTTATATACCATGTTTGCCACATCTTCTTGTTTGTTGCTTCCAACAAATGAAACATCAGGCGGAGTTCTGCACGAAGCACAGTCGGTTTTTAGAAGAGTAGAGTGCACAGAGTGCACCTTGGATCTTTGTTAAACTCATAACCACTTCGGAGGCCATTGCTACTAGGGTGGAGACCATAGGAGGCCATCAGTGAAAAACACCACTTCTTAGGGCTTGCTGGATGATGTGTGAGTCATGTGCTTGGGATGTTGACTTGTCAACCCAACAATTAGTTTCTTGCATCCAAACAAGTTACTTGAAACCGCATTGCTTCAGGTTTTTGTCATGTGAAACCGAGGCCGAGGGTGTTCACTTCGCGCATTATGGCGGAACATGCTCTTGTTTTGCATTTGGGACAATTCTTAATTCTTTGTTAATCAAGAATAGGTTACCAGGGGTGGGGGGTGAATAGAGTCAGTAAAGCAGCTCAGCATCGTTTCCGTCTCCAGTGAGCATTTTTGCAAAAAGCTGAACCACAGTGGTGGGGCACCATGCAGAAGAAGCAATGGTACCACAAACTGGTTGTTCATCCTTCCAAGACTCCTTACAATCAGGCTTAAATGGACTTAAAGACCTAACTAGATAATTAATTACGTCATGAAACGAGATCATTTTGATTTCAATCTTCAGTTGCTCAACCCAACAGCCATGATGGCGCTGTCGGCTGTGCTGCTGGCTCAGCTGACCGTTGTGATCTCTGCATCCTGTGAGGAGACTTCGCTGCTGGCTGCTAGGGGTGTGAGGACGGCTGAGATCAGAAAAGGGCTGTCGAAAAAGACTACTACTACTAGCGATGGTCTCCACCCTACTAGCGATGGTCTCCACCCTACTAGCAATGGCCTCCAGCCTACTAGCAATGGCCTCCAGCCTACTAGCAATGGCCTCCAACCTAGTAGCGATGGCCTCCACCGACTAAACGGCCTCCACCCTAGTAGCGATGGCCTCCAACCTAGTAGACTCAAAATATGCTACTACGACCTAGGAATCATTTGAGGAAACTTGACAGAAAGTGATCGACAGGTTCGGGTTGGCTGTGGGAGTTTGAGTTGGTGGGCAGGACAATGCATGCGCCGAAAAAAGCAGTGGTACCCCATAGCCATGAGGCTTGAGGGCACATGGGAACAAGCACGGGCACAAGGGAGAAGGAAAGAGAAGGACGGTGTCTTTGTTCTGAAAATTTGAATTGCGATGAAACTGAAACTGTGTGCAATGGTAAGTTGTTTTGATGTCAAGAGTTTGGGGAAAAGCTGTTCGTTCCACCCTGCTCCAGACGGGGAAACGATGATTGTTCGTTGAATATTTTCTCGGCATTATGAACACTGGTGATAGTCCGAAGAGACATTGGCCTTTCAGACGAAAAAAGATGAGCATGGAAACTCAACTTAAGATAGCATGATTGGCTTTGCAGGTTCAAGTTACTAGGAACAATAAGCTACTAGGAACAAGTGCATCGCTTCTAGTAACAAGTGCCTTGCTAGTAGAAACAAGAAGCTTCTAGTAACAGGTGCATCGCTAGTAGTAACAAGTGCCTTACTAGTAGTAACAATGTTTGCTAGTAGAAACAATAGCTTGGGGTTGTACACTCTTTGGGCCGTCGGATCCACAGCCCCCGCCGGGGCGGTGGTGCCCCGGTGCCTCAGTCATGTTTCGGTGGTGTCTCGGTGTGTCTCGTGGATTGGGGCGTGAAGGGGGACAAGCCACGGCGGCTGCAGCTCTGGAGTCGCGCCTCTTCGGGCCTGCCGTGCGTTTTGTTTGTGCTCTGCGCGGGCAGCGACACAACTCTGGTCGTCGATTTTTTCTGGAGTCCTATTCGGGGAGCGTGCCTAAGCACGGCCAAACCTGGTCTTGAAACAGTTCTTGCTGCGCCTGCCACTTATCGTGAACGCAGGTGGAGTGCCTTAGGACGCTATACCCAAAAGATGCGTTCATGCCAGCAACCTTGGACTTCCTGTCTATTTCTGGCGAAGATGAGCTGGCCCAAGGCGCCCGGCTCCAATCCACTGCCCTTGGTCTTGGACATCCTTGCTTCTTTGAAGCGTTTATTCTGCGAACGCAGGACACGGAGAAGGCCAACCGGGCACTGGGCACCGCCCCGCAGATGGCCCAAGTCATAATGCCCCGAACTTCCCTTGACAAGGACGCCGAGGCAGCAAACCCTTTTCTGCTCACTTCTGCTTTGGGATCACCGAAGCCCATGGGCAGAGAGCGAAGCCCGGCGTACCTTCAACGAGCTGATGGCCAACGGGCGTGATGGACAAAGCTTAGCAATTGCACAAAAGAGGTTGGGGGTGGCTGGTTCATGTGCAAATTTGCCGCGAGGATACACGGCAGTGCATCCTTCACAACGCTTGGGGCCTACCATTACTGCCGAGCAAGCAGGACAAGACGAGCGTCAAAGAAAGAGGCGGCGTGCACGTTACTTTATTTGGTCGTCGGGGCAGCTCACACCAGTTTGCCCAAAGCTTTTGCTTGTATTTCTTCAAGCCAGCTTCTCCTTAAATTCAAAACGCCTTCGGGGCTGGCGGCGTTGCTATGCAAAGTGCTCCTGTCCCGGCCGACTTCGTCTGCCACTGTCGACCCTTGGGCAGCGCCGGCGCATCGATTGTGTGGAGGCACTTTGCTCCGAGAACTGTCAGTTTCGTCACCCACCTCTCCCTTGAGTGAATGTATTTGTAGGGGGGGTTAAGAGCCCCACCGCCGAGGCAACGTTTCTGGAAGAGAAGAATGAGCCAAAACCTTACAGCATTTGGCAGGGCCAGGCCCAACAGACGGTTGTAGGCCAAACAATATGAATGGCTTGGGTACTGCATTTGTGTCTTGTCGACCCTGCCTGCAGGCGCAGCACCTTTCGCGTATGAATTACGCGCTCGTCCTTCAATACATTGTTCCTCCTCCTTTGCTGATAATATTTATTGTCACTGTATGAACCTATCTCCTCATCATTCTCTGTCCGACTAGGAGCTTGGTGCAATTTGTTCTGTGCTGTGTTGAGTTAGTTCTTCGACGTATAGGCGCAGGCACTTGAACATACAATTTGGCCTTTCGTGAACATTTTGTTTGGATATTGACATTGAATCCATTGAACTTGTTTGTGTAACTTTGTGTGCAAACTATTGGATTGCATTTCAGCACGGGCGGCTTTAAACATTGTCCTCGATATTCGGTATGTGAAAAACCACGCAACAATCAACGCACGCAGAAAAGATGCGCCAGATCTTGGCGGATGCTTTGTCAACTGGGCTCATTCGCCATTCAACTGCAAGAGTGCCAAAGAGCGTGCAGCGACGACTTTGCGACTTGATGTGTTTTCCTTTGGAACAAACATGCTGACGCAAAACGAATGAACACCCAAGAAACATGAAACACATGCGTGTGAGAAAATGCGTTGCCCCAAACTTCAAGAACCAAATCATTGGTGCAAACGCTTCTTCAAAGACGTTCCCCCCGCCTTCAGGCGCTAAGAGCTTCCGTGCAGAAGCGTGAACTATCCTGCATCCATATGTATTTGCGTCTCAGTAGCCCAGTACCTAAAAGCGATCAGTCGGTCCCTTAAACAAAGGCAGGGCCATAAGCTGTTGAAAAACGGAGACATCCCCGACGTCCCTTTTTTCCAGGTGACGGCGCCTCGGTCCACGAGGCTCAAGACGCTCTGCAGCACCGGTCGCCGGGAAACCGGGTGCGTGTCCTCCAGGTGTCCCGGAAACTGCAAAGATGAAGGGAAGGTCTCACCTCATTTTTTGAAACGCTGAGTAGTTTGGCAGGTTTCCCCCAAAGTGCGAGCTGTCAAGAAACCACCAACTGGAGGGAAGCGACAATGTCATGCCTTAATCCTTCATGGATTTCTAATGATTTCATGGTTTGGGGTAGGATTTTGTCAGTTGCCTGTAGTAGGCCATAGTAAACGACATTTGTCCAATTCTTTCCATGGTTTGTGCAATGACCACATGGGCGCTCACATGAGGAGACGGCAGAAGGATGGCAAGACATCACTTACCAGGCTGAAGAAGCTACTGGCGACAGTCGGTCGACGTCAGAAGGTGCCTATGAGGGCTGCTCCTGATTCTGTTGCCTTATGTTCTTTGAAGCAAGTGCAGCAAGTGAGAGTTGTGAACAATTCTTTGTTGTCAAAGTTGGTTAAACCAATTGAACAAACATCGAAGGAGATTGTTTCATTGTTGAATTTTTCAATCTTAGCCGAGGCATGCGGGTCAACTGTTTTCTGTTCAAAGGAGGTTCACGTTTTTCGTTTACTTCGTGTTTGATGTGTTTTGTGAATAATTCCATTTTTTCGAAGCAGAAGCCACGGAAGGCCTCCAGGTTAAGGTCAGTGGAAGGCACAGAGGAAATCAGTGATTTTTGTGCAAAGTTCACACACAGGAGCTTGCAAAGCTTACTGGAGAGCTCGAACATATTTTATCCTCGAAGAAAAGTACAGACGAAGCTGACAGAACTTGGGAGGGGTCCACGATCATCATCAACTCCAGCACAGTCTACGGGAATGTCATTGGTGGGAACAGTGACTGGTCGCCCATCAAGTCTGAGTTCTTGGGGAATAGAAAGCGGTCTCTCAGTGTTGGCGATACTCAGTGGAAACACACCGTTTTTATGCCCATTGGCAACACCAAGAAGTCTGTCGATGTCAGTGCGAACGGAACGAATATCCGCCACAGGGTCGACACCGATTTGTTCGACAAGGGAAGTCATCGCTTAGGAGAGATTGCATCCTCTCGGGGGGGAGGCGATGGAACAGATCTCAGCGGAGACACTCACGAGTATTTGGAGGATTTGGATGAGGATTCAAAGGATGAGAGCAATGAGGTGTCCACAACTTCTGAGAACGATTGAGACGGAGTGGACAAAGTTTTGCAAGCTGTGGCTAAAACGGCCGCGTGGCTAATAAATCTCACAATTCCACATTGATATCAATGATTTGACAGTCGAATTCATCTTCGTTTTAAGATCGACGTTGCTTGTCACAAAGAGGACGAACACACCGCATGCAATCCACATGTGCTTGCTGGAGCCACACTTCAGGCAAGAAACGACTCATACAGTGCGCTGTGCATGGGGCGTTGGGGTGACAGGTGTTTTGTATGCCCGGGAAGCCACCCTTTGCAGGGTGGTAGAAGTTGTGATGCACCAAATCAGGCAATATCAAGAGAAAATAAAAAACAGAGGCCCTTACCTTTTGTTGATTATTTGGAGGCCATCGCTAGTAGGGTGGAGGCCATTCCTAGTGGGTACCTGTTTGCAAGCAGACTTTGATAGAAAGTCAGTGGACTTGGACTTTTCTGCTGTGGCCTTTTTGTTCAAACAGCGGCCAAGTGTCGGCCGGGTCCTTTCGACTGGGCCTCAGCTGATTGATGGCTTACAGAGTTTTGGGTTCATGTTTTCAGGCAGCAGAATCAAGAGTCAGAATTCACAAGTTGCACTGCTCTTCCTACCACTTACATGACCCAATCATGAATATCTCAGACTGTGTCACGCTCTTGTAGCCTACTCTTGTGGGACACTCTTGCACGGCAGTGCTTGACACTCTGGTGCAAGACTCCCTTCAAAACGGACGCGGAAAGTCTTCGAAAGAAGTAGGAGCAAGGACACTACTAGCGCTTCCAGACATCCACAAGAAGCCGCTGAGCGGAAGCCGCAGAGCACACACATCTCCCAGCCCTCCTCCCACGCACCTCTAAAGACCATCGCTTCTTGCTTCTTGTTCCTAATAGCTTCTTGTTACTAGTAGCGATGCCCTTTACCTCTAAAGACCATCGCTTGAAACGCAAATCCCAATTGCATAGCGACATCATGCGCCGACCTCACAAGACGCTGCGCATGCGGCAAGGTGACGTCAAGCATTCAAGAAAGAACAGCTGTTGGTCGAACCAGTAACTTACATGCATCTAACTCAGGGCTGCCACTTCACGTGCAGCGGCTCTACCATGTAGCTTCTTGTTGCTAGTAGCAAGGCCAGGAGCCCCTAGTAGCGTCCTTGCTCCTAGTTCTTATTTCTTTTTGTCTGGAACTGTGTGTCTTGTGATCGCTTTCACGTTCCACGGCGACAGCACATTCTCGATCCTTTGCAGCGCCCAGCACCCGTCCTGAACCTTTCTGCACCTCGAAGACAGGTGCCATTGCGTCCCGCCTCTGCGCCCCTTTGCCGCCCCATTAACCTTTCTTTTCTATTCGCACCCACTCCGCTCATGTTTGTGTCCCATGTCTTCATGGAAGCTGTTTGTTAAAGGATTTAGTTTTGTTTTTCAGTTTGGCAGGCAGTGAGATGACCTCCGAGCGCTGCTCTGATGAGTTGGTGGCATTTTGGGTGAGGTCAGTCGGGATGCTGGTGGCACTCCGGGAGTGCCACGTGAGTTGTCAATGCTTTCTAATGTTCTTGTTGGCGCCAGGGGTAGTGAAAGCAAGCTTTTGGAGCCTTTTTGGAACCAAATGTTAGGACACAAATAAGTTTGTTGTTCTCTCGCAATTGTTCTGTTTGATGCTGGGCTGAGGTAAAGATATTCCTTATGAAGCTCTTCCGGCGGAGGGGTCTAGTACACAGGCGGACAGTGAAGCAGGAGTACACATGAGGCTGGACATGGCGATTGCAGCTGTAGGCAAAGGGCCAGCATGTTATTGACCGCTAAAGCGTGCTGGTTGGTGGTTTTTGTTAAGACACTGCAACTTGTTTCTGAAAGGCTATTGACTCCCTTGAAGCGGCCTCCACCCTAATAGCGATGGCCTCCAACCTAGAAGCGATAGCCTCCAAGGCTCTTGACTCCCTTGAAGCAGAACAGGACGACATGAGTTCATTCTGTTGACGGCTTTGCTGCTTTGCAGGGACCTGGAAAATGGAAAGGACACGCACGACGACCCCAAGGTGCTTGGGCAAAACAGCAATGTTTCTACTCCAAGGTGGAATTCAATGATTTGTTGAACCTAATGGCAATATCCTCCAACCTAAGAGCGATGGCCTCCAACTTAATAGCGGATGGTGTATTGAATGTTCTTTCTTTCCTTCTCCTTTTTGAACTGTTTCAATTTGTGTCCCTGTCTTTGTTGGTGTTTTTTTGTGATGAGTCCTTCAGAGCTGTTGTTCAGCTTTGTTCCAAGCATGCAAGATGGGGGAGTAGCGATGGCCTCCACAGTAGTAGCGATGGCCAACTGTTTAAGATGTTCCTCTTCTGAAGTATCAATCCCGTCTAAGTCTGTCTCTATGGGGGTGCTTCGGGTGGACCTTGGGTGAACCTTCGACAATTTTGGTGATGAGATACGAGAAAAGCCAAAGAAAATAGAAGAATAAAGAGATGACAGAAGGAAGGTAAACCAGGTAGGCCTTCCTTCGTTCATCTTTGTAATCTTCTTTGAACTTCTTTTCAGCGATTGTTCACTGGTTTGCAGTGGTGTCCAAACAGGGCGGAAACGGCCTCGTTTTGGAACGCGCAATTGGTCTCAAATTGGAACACGGGCGATTGGTCTCAATTTGGAACACGGGCCTTTCCTGCGGTTGGGCTGATGGCTTCTCTTTGGTGGTGATGTTTTTCTTCTGCTGGTGTTTTTCTTCCAGGATTTTTTTGTTGTGAGGTTCTTTTTCTTATGGTAGTGTTTTTCTTCTAGTGGTTTTTTTCTTTTGGTGGCTGTTTTCTTGTGGTGTTTTTTCTTCTCGTGCTGTTCTTTCTTCTGGTTTCTTGGGTGTTGGTTTTCTTGTGGTGGGCTTTTTCTTCTGGTGGTTGTTTTCTCTGGTGTTTTTCTTTCTTCGGTTGGTGTTGTTCTTGTGGTGCTTTTCTTCTTCGTGTTCTTTTTTTCTTGGGGTGATGTTTTCTTTGGTGTTTGTTTCTCCTGGTGTTGTTTCTTCTGGTGCTGTTTTTCTTTGGTGTTTGTTTTCTTGAGATGCTTTTTTTCCTCGGTTGGTTTTGTTCTTGTGTTGTTTTTTCTGTTGGCTGTTTTTTGATTGGGTGTTTTCTTGTTATTTCTTAATTGTTGTTTATTTTCTAGTGGCTTTTGTTTTGTAGTTCTTTCTTCGGGTTGTTTTTTCCTGCGGTGGCTTTTGTTTATTGTTGTTTTTGTTTCTTCTGGTGGCTCTTTTTTGTAGGTGTTCTTTTTTTCTCCGGGTGCTTTTTTCCTTCTGGTGGTTTCTTTCTTGTGGTGGTTTGTCCTTAATTTTATTCTTAAGTAAATATGTTTTTGTTATTTGTTGTTGGCTTATGTCTAGTATATGTCCCTTGTTTGCTTTTTTCCAACAAGCCATTAGACTTGGTGTCCATTGCGGGGGAGGCGCTGCTCCCCCGCACCCCCTCCCGCTTATTTTGAGGGAGATCAAAGCAACAAAGCAACCCAGGAAGGTATACTACCTTGGAATGACAGCTTCCTCCTCTAAATTTGACCCGCAAACTGATATGACATCGTATGCGCGCTACACATCAACAAACTTCGATCGAACACCGGAATCTATTCCACAGTGCGAAAGGATTTTATTCCCAGCTAGCATACCTTTTCTGAACCACGCTGGGGTGAATTTAGAGAAGGAATTTAGAGAAGGAAAGTGCAATTCCAAAGCATGCCTTTCGTGGGCCACGCGGGGTAAAGTTTAGAGCGGGAAGCTGCCATTCCAAGGTAGCATACCTTTTGTGAGCTACCCGGGGGTAAAATTTTGAGCAGGAAGGTGCCATTCCAAAGCATGCCGTTTGTGAGCCACGCAGGGGTTATGCCAAGCAACGAAGCAACCAACGAACCCCAGCAACCAACGAACCTCACCAATAAAGCCACTAGACTTGGTTACATTGCGGGGGAGGGCCCTGCCCCCCCTCCCGCTTATTTTGAAGGAGATCAAAGCAAAAAGGCAACCCAGGAAGGTATACCACCTTGGCATGGCAGTTTCCTCCTCTAAATTGGGCCCGCGAACCGATATGACATCGCATGCCCGCTACATATCAACAAGCTTCTATCGAACACCACAGTGCGAAGTGATTGTTGTGTTTCAAAATGAGCCGGTCTTTTTTGCTAGTAGGAACAAAAGTGCCTTACTAGTAGTAACAAAAAACTATTGGAAACAAGTGCCTTACTAGTAGTAACAGGTGCCTTACTACTAGTAACAAAAAACTATTAATTTTAACTTAATTCTAATAGCTTTTTGTTACTAGTAGTAAGGCACCTGTTACTACTAGCGTGGCACTTGTTACTAGTAACATCGTGTGTTCCAAAAAGAGCCTCCCGAACTGGCACACCTCGGCACGTTGTCAGCATTTTTCCAGGGCGTCAACGCTGATTCAACGCAAGGCGGGCGACACTTGTTTTCCAAAGCCGGACACGGGGCGTGAAGATGCGTGGGAAGCGGAGGGAAGGAGAGAGGCTCAGAGGTGTTTCCTATGGTATTTTTGATGTATTTTGTGCTGCCAGAGAGAACTGGGCCTCTAACACAACTGTGTTTGCCTGTCAAGTTTGTCGATCAAGTGCAGCAATAACCCCCTACGGCTTCCAGAGACCTTGCAAATTAGCTACTACAAATCCCCTCCAAAAGCACCATGAACTGGGATGATGTTGCAGGTCTGAAAGGGCAAAACAGCAATGTGTCTACTTCAAGGCGGAATTCAAGGATTTGTTGAACTCCATAGCGATGGCCTCCAACTTAATAGCGGATGGTGTATTGAATGTTTTTTTCTTTCCTTCTCCTTTTTGAACTGTTTCAATTTGTGTCCCTGTCTGTGTTGGTGTTTTTTTTTGTGATTAGTCAAGTCCTTCAGACCTGTTGTTCAGCTTTGTTCCAAGCATGCAAGATGGGGGAGTAGCGATGGCCTCCACAGTAGTAGCGATGGCCTCCAACCTGCTAGCGATGGCCTCCAACCTACTAGGGCCTCCAAGCCCTCATTCACCAGAACAATCATGTTACAACGAGGTCATTTGACTTCTCCCTATTTTGTTGAGAAATAGTTAAAGATTCACGGCGGTCCACGGCTTCCAGGACGCACCGGAATGGCCCCGTTTGTTTTTTCTTCAGACCCTAGACCTTGTTTTTTTTCAAATCTTTCTTCGCGAAATGGAGACTTTTTAGTTCAGCCTGAGCCGCGCCGCGCCAGCTTCCCGAGAGCCGCTGCTGGACTCTGCGAACGGCGCTGTG